TGATAATACCGTATACCGTGATAAAAGCATTAGCAATTAATCGCAACATGAAAATTTGATACCGGCATATCCCTAGTGTCCAGTGGCCGGTTGCATAAAATGCTAAGATTAGTCTTACAAGTAAGTTATCATATTTTTTTTAAGACTGGACATAACTTTTTTTTAAGCCAGTTACATAACAAAAACGTAGATTGGTCTAATTCGAATCCAAAAAGTAAGAGTTACTCAGTGGCTCAGACTGGATCTTAAGACAGTGGCTAAGTTTATGTAATCGACTCCTGATGTCCATTTTATTATTCTGACATGCACAGACCTTTATATATAGACTTTAGGAGTATTTTTGCACAGTGACATTGCTGACGTTTGTATGGTGTCTTCTGTTAGGAAACACTATCGATTGTGGTGTTTGATGGCGTGTGAAGGAGCGAGATCCGCCGCTCGTGTTGAGAGATGAAGGATGAATCTGTTCGTCCTCTGACCGTCCTAAACGTGTCCTCGGCGAGGTCAAAGCGAGCAGTTTCACGTGTCACCTCACTAAAAATAGCGGCACGCTCTCTCGGTCTCACGCTCACAGCCGAGGTTTGAGGAGTTCATTTTCATCAGTTCCTTGTTTTATTTTCCTATTATTGCTCTCTGAAGTTGCAGCAAATCATCACATCTTTAACCCTTCCATGTGATCTGCAGAGAGCTGTAATGTGGAAGTGTTTGGTGACTTTGACCGTTGCAGTATTTCAGTGATTTATGATCCTCTGAATGGACAGCGATTATCATTGACTGAAGACATAATGTACAAGATCTAAATATGACTGTCCTTTAAATCAGGGTCGGTTTGCTCTTCTAAACTGGACCAGAGCTTTCTTTTGGTCACTCTGATCTTGAATTTCACTGTCTGTATTATTGTTTTATCACATTCACTGCAGATGTCCGTGTGGAGGTCTGACGAGATCTCCGAGTCGTTTCAGTCTCTATACCAGGATAAACGTGGGAGACATTAGTTTTCATCAGTGAGCAGAAACGCTGCTGTACAGTGTTTCTAGTCCTTCGTGAAGGTGAAGGTTTGAGAGGTTGATGAATGACTGAAGTGTTGGAGCAGAAAGCCTTTGTCCATCCTGACAGAAATCATAACTGCCTCATATGAGTCGTGCTTCTGTTACTCAGATCATTTAGACTCGTCTATCATCAAGTACAAATGAACGCAAATGAAACCTTTATTATTCCTAGATTCCTGCTGTGACTTCTGTGTAGCTGAAGAGCTGAGGTGTTTGTGTGTGCTTGTGTTTCTGAAGGACCTGGCGGGCATGAGTGCTCCTCAGAGGAACTGGAAGGGCATCGCCATCGCTCTGCTGGTCATTCTGGCGGTCTGTTCTCTCATCACCTTGTCTGTGATCCTCCTCACTCCAGGTACTGCAGCTCCTGAAGTTCCTTCCTGAAATCAGTCTGGCAGATTTCTGCATTGCTAAAGTCTGGAGCGTTAGGCCGATGCGAGCGGCGTTACTCTATCCGCCGTTTGTTACGTGACGCGTGAGGCCTTCAGCGGCTCTGTTTCTGACCCCACGCTCTTGTCTGTCTGTTTGTGTGACAGTGGATACGCAGCCCAGCAGTGACACCAAGCTGACGGTGGAGGATCTTTTCAGCGCAGATTTCTACGTACACGACCCTGAAGCGTGCTGGATCAACGGTAAGACGATACGACCGCAAAGCCACTCGCGCCATTCATTTCTAATGGATCTCATTCATTAATCATCTGTACACCGTCATGAGCTCTTAAGCACAGCTGATCGCAGAGGATGATTGATCACGACCGCAGACGCTGCGCAGTAAACATTATAAAACCAGCCGTTTAAACAAGAAACGCTCTGACCGACACGTAAATCTCCATCTAAAGTTGTTTTGTTACTACTCTTCAGGTTTATCTGAAACGATTGAGACCGCAAATATAGACCGGCAATTTAAGCAGTTGCCCAGCCGCAGCGTCGTTACTGACTGTGTAGAAATGAGTGGAAATGTGTGTAGACTTGGTGATCAGAAATTCTGCCCATCTAAAGTGGTAAATGCAGATGATTTCACAGGCAGAAAACAAAGCAGCACTTCAGTTGTGCTGGATATTTAGATTCCCTTGAAAGTGCAAAACCCTCAAAACTCTGACCCCTGGTTTCACAGGCAAAGCTTAAGCCTAGTCCCAGACTAAAATGTAAATCTGAGCTGTTTCAACTGAAAGAAACTTGCACTGATTGATCTTGAAATATGTCAGTGCCCTTGTTTTGTCTCAAGATGCACTCCAGTAATGTTTTTTCTAAGGCATGTTTGTAAAAATGACTTTAAAATCCTAATTGAACTATGGCCTAGTCCTGGCTTAAGCTAAGCCCCGCCTGAATGACCTCAGAAGATTTAAAGCCAGATCCAGTGTCTGGTTCTTCATCAGAAGCACAGGCATCAACCTGAACAAACGGTCAGTCAGATGCACACTGCAGCAGCTCTGGACATTATCGTGTGCAGATCTGATCAGAGCTCAGTTATCTGGATTGCGGGCCATCTATCATTTAATATCAGGTCTAATATATATTTATATGGAAAGCATCACATTTTAAATGCCATCTGTCTCGGTGAGGTCACATCCTGACTCGTTAATGTGAAGCTTCCTGCAGGACACTGAGCAGGAGCACAACGATTTGACATTTGTAGTTTTCCCGTATTTTTCTTGTCTCTGTGAGGCTGTGAGAGTGTCATTCCATTGGAGCTTATTCCTGATCGAAGACTATTTGAGGACATCAAATACTTTTTCCTGCATCACAAGAACCAATGAAACACAGTAGAAATAGTTGGGCCAGTTTATACGGAGTGAATGTGTTAGAATAATTCACATCATGTGAAAGAATCTGATGAACTTGACCTTTTAGATCTGTGAACATAATCTAGTTACTGAAATATTTGTTTGTGAGTGTGTGTGTGTCTGTGTGCGTGTGAGTGTGTGTGTGTGCGTGTGCGTGTGCGCGCGCGTTCGCGTGTGTGTGTGTGCATGCGTGTGAGTGTGTGAGTGTGTGTGTGTGTGCGTGTGCGCGCGCGCGCGTGTGTGTGTGTGTGTGAGTGTGCGCGTGTGTGTGTGTGCATGCGTGTGAGTGTGTGAGTGTGTGTGAGTGTGCGTATAATTATATCTGCTGTATTTTTTTTATTTATTTGGTTTTATTTTGTGTCTGTAACTTTTGAATTATTCCATTAGTCAGTTATCCAGATACTTTCTGCTTTCAGCACTCAAGAGTTTTGTTCCGGTTTAGAGCTGGAAACTGAGAGCTTTATTAATGTTTCACCGTCTGTTTTTCCTCACTGCAGTCAATAGCAGCTCCGCGAGACTCTCAGACTGAAAATTTACCTTCACAGCCATCATGCAGCTCATAAATGTGAATAACCTGACATGAAACAGATGAGCAGCCCTGCTTGTTTATCCGTCAGAAGATAGATCGGACACGAGCGAGAGCGCAGGTCAAATGCAGGAAAGAAAGGGGAACTCGTTTTGGTCTGTTAGCTGCATTTAGACTGTAAAATCTAATAATACACAGATGGATTTTGACCAATCAGATGTGTGTTTGCATTCATTTACACATTGCTGACTGTGTTTACATGAATAAATCACCAAGATGAGCACTTTGACCAAAAGGTGCGTTTGATCCTGCATTGCTGTGAGATGTGAATGCTCTTCAAAACCTTACAAACACGATTTGCTATTATATATTCTCTTTCTCCTCTTTCACTCTTTGCTAGAATCTGAGGTCATCTACAGAAATCATCATGGTCATGTGATCAGGTTTAACATCCTCACGAATGAGACCGAGATCGTGCTGAAGAACACCACATTCGTGAGTAAAACCTGAACATGTGTTTACATACGCCTAATGCAATTTGCAGAATGTTAATCATTAATTAAATAAGCGGCATCAAAAATGTTGTGAGTTTGTTTATTCAGTAGTGCCCTGAATAATCTATTTCACCTAAACGATGTTTTCAGTCCACAAGACAAAATGATAGCTGAATTTACACCAATGACCCTGTCAACAGTTTACATAATAATTCATAAATTCAAGACCACAGAACTGCTTTTATAGTACAATTAACTTTTATCTCTAAAGATCAAGAAAGTTTAATTGTTTTCATGATATGAGGCCTTAAGGTTTTCATAATGAGATGTTCCCAGCAGAAACGTTGAAGCGTAGTCTGTAGTTTATGGGATATGAATGCAGTAATGAGGATAACATCATTCATGTTTTTCCAGGATACTTTCAAAGCCACCAGGTACTCCATAAGCCCAGACATGAAGTATGTGCTTTTCGCCTACAACATCAAACAGGTATGTGCTGCTTTCTGCAATAACAGATGTGTTCTTTTTAATAGTTAAAGGTACAGTATGTCAGAATCAGAAAACCCATAAATGAACTGCAGCCAGTTACCGTGAGCTTGTGCTTATTCACACTCGCAATAGGCACGCGAGCAAATGTTGTCCAAAACAGAGATATATAACACACAAGAGACCAAATGTCATTAACAGATAACAGGTCATAACCTAATTAACAGCCTAACCCTAACTGTTATGATTGTTTTATGTCACAGCCTTTGGATTTTCCTTGAAAAACGCCTCGGGTTATGCATGTAACCATGGTTCCCCGAGTGGGAACGAGACGCTGTGTCCCCCTCTAGGGGACACTTTGGGGAATGCTGCCAGCATGACCGGTGTCTGAAGCATGTGTAAAACGATGCCAATCCTATTGGTCCACGTGGCCCGTGACGTAGGAACACAACCATCCTCGGATAGCTATGCTATGTGAGCAATAGTAGCCAGGATAATAAGACCACCGAAGAGGCTGGAAGCATAGAGAAGCTCAAAAATTGCTACTAACAATCTCAGCTAGAACACGGATATCCGCAGATAGCTATATCCAAAGGGTCTTATGAAATGAACCTTCCTAAAAAGCTGCCCAGACCAGGGAATGGGCTATCTACTTACGACCCTAGCAGCGGAGATAGCACTGTCTAGGCAAGAGCTCAGGAAGACAGCTACTTAAAAACCTTAAGAAGGGGAGCAGTCACTGAGCTAGCACATAGATATCCTCAGATAGCTATGTACCTAGGAAGTGCTACCAGAAGGGGACCGACTCGACTACACAGTAGGCTTGCCGTGATAGACGGTGCTGACGGTGATACCGGTGTTAAGCTGCAACACCGGTTACGTCACTTGCCCACCGGGTCACCGAACCCCAACCATAGTTTTGATTTTTTTATAGTAATACAAATCATTTAGTTCAGTAAAAGAACAGACACTACAATTAAAAACTGAACGCGGCTGCTCAATGCAGCGTGCCGAACGACAGTCGCATCACAGATCAGATTTCATTTCTCCAGTGAGGAGAGTGAGTCGAGCTGACTGACAAGAAGAGTGAGGTGAGACAGACAAGACGATTGAGGTGAGACAGACAAGAAGAGTGAGGTGAGACAGACAAGAAGAGTGAGGTGAGACAGACAAGAAGAGTGAGGTGAGACAGACAAGAAGAGTGAGGTGAGACTGACAAAACGAACAATTGCTTTACTCTGAATTGCCACTATTTGAAAGTGAAAGTAAAATGGGCACGCCGCTTTTACAAGCTATTTAAAAGCAAAGGAAAGCGAGGAAAAGCCCCGCCCCCGTGGTGATACCGGCATTACCGGTGTTGTCACACGTCGATTAACCGGTGGGAAAATTTCCTCACCTCACAACACTACTACCTAGACCACAAAAAGTGGGCTGTCCACTTACAACCCTAGCAGGGGAGACAGCACTGTCTAGGTAAGACACAGCCTATGTGCTAATAGTACTGTCTAAGTGGAGCTCTGCTCTAATCTAGAGAGCGGAGGCTTCAGCAGAATAACTCCCATAAACGAGAGGAAGCCTAACAACACTCAGTCCTGGTATGTAGAGTGCAGCTCAACATAAAGACAGTTCATCAAGGCCGCCTTACAGAAGGCTGAACACTCGATCCCAATGTCTAGCTGGAGCTTAAGTGCTCTATCATACAGCTAGTATTCAAGTAACCCCATCCTGCCATAACAATGGCTGGAATATAACCACCCTCAGATAGGGCTGGACAATAATTCAATATCAATATGTATCGCGATATAATTTTTTTCAATAACGGTGATATGATTTTTAAACACATTTCCGATATTTCGATATACATTACCAGTGTTTCCCATACATTGATTTATTTGTGCCGTTTGACTTCGTTGAATAAACATGAGCACTGCACGTTTCAAAATCAAAAAATGTCGCGGGTGTTTTATATAAATGTATCTGTGAAGGGAACCGACTGTCTTCAGAAAAGTTTCGATGGCATTTTCATTTGATCTGATAAAGAAGCGTTCATGAGCGGAGCTGCTTTGATTACAGCCATTACTGGAGAAACCGCTAGTTCTATCACTCTAAAAGCGCCTCCTGCTAGCAGAGCATGAGTTTTCATTTTAAATAAGCCCGTCTCCAGCAACATTTCCAGTTTTTGTTGTTGTTAAATTTTTTTGTTTTCTGCAGCGACTCGGAGCACTTTTCATACCCTTTTTTTTTTGGCTGAAGCACATTTGTTTCAATCTATAAGAATAATCAGCCTACACTACCAGTCAAAAGTTTTTGAACAGTAAGATTTTTAAAGGTTTTTTTTTTTTTTAAGAATTCTCTTCTGCTCACCAAGGCTGCATTTATTTGATCCAAAGTACAGCAAAAACAGTAAAATGTTGAAATATTTTTACTATTTAAAATTGCTTTCTATTTGAATAGATTTTAAAATGTAATTTATTCCTGTGATCATACATAGGTAAATTTTCAGCATCATTACTCCAGTCTTCAGTGTCACATGATCCTTCAGAAATCATTCTAATATGCTGATTTGCTGATTATCAATATTTAAAACAGTTGAGTACATTTTTTTTTCAGGATTCTTTGATGAATAGAAAGATCCAAAGATCAGCATTTATCTGAAATAAAAAGCTTTTGTAACATTATACACTATTCCATTCAGTATAATTTTTATTATTTTTTTGGGAAAGAAATTATAGAAATTAATACTTTTATTTAGCAAGGATGCTTAAAATTGATCAAAAGTGATGATAAAGGCATTTATAATGTTACAAAAGATTTCTATTTCAGATAAATAGTGTTCATATCGATATCGGAATTATATCGTATCGACCGAAATTAAGAAATATATCGTGATATCAATTTTGGCCATATCGTCCAGCCCTACCCTCAGATGGCTATACTAAGCAGATCCCCAATCAGTGTCAGTCCTACAATAGGATAGCGAGCACTGTATATGACCAGAGGCTCCCAATATCAAAGCCTGATGCAAGCAGCGGCCATAACACTAGGTGCTCAAACACCCTGGGAGAGAAAGCTTGCAAGCTAATATCTAAAAATTCTTAAATCAAGAAGGATTTTCTAGACAAGTAAAAATTATTTTCTTGTTTTCAGAAAAAAACAAGTGAGTTTTTGCTTACCCCATTGGCAGATTATTTTGCTTGTTCTAAGCAAAAACTCACTTAATTTTGACTTGGGTTTTTTTGTGAAAACAAGACAATTTTTACCGGTCTAAAAAATCCTTCTTAATTTAAGAATTTGTAGATATTTTGGCTGGAAACAAGACAAAAAATCTAAGTAAGAAAAGCATTTTTTTGCAGTGCATTCAATATATCCACGCCCAGCGAGGCTCTCCACACACAATAACATGATGTTTTATTAACAATAAAACAATAAAATCCGTGCTTCGGATGAGACGTTAAACCGAGGTCCTGACTCTCTGTGATCATTAAACATCCCATGGCACTTCTCGTAAAGAGTAGGGTGTAACCCCGGTGTCCTGGCCAAATTCCCTCCACTGGCCCAGAAGCTTCCACAGTGCAACAGAATGACAGTGACAGGACAAAAACTAGATAATGAAAGAATAAAAATAGAACAAGTACATAGGGAATAACAATATACAGATTGACAATTGTATGTACAGGTATAGTACAATAGACAGGTTTGTATGTACAGTCGTAACCAAAAGTTTTGGCAGTGACATACATTTTGTGTTTTGCAAACTTTGCTTCTTAAGCTGTTGTTGTGTTCGTTCACATTGTTTCTATATTATTGTGTAGAGTGATCAGATGCATTTGAAATAATTGCTAATAGCTTCATTGGCCAAAAAATGAAAATGAATGAAAAAAAAAAAAAATGTCACTGTTTTTTGATCCTGACACAAAATGACCAGCTAACATTAATTGACTAATCATATTAGCAGCACATGTGAAAATGTGAATGAGTACTAGTCAGGTTAATCACTATCATACTAATTAGATTGGAGAGCGCTGTACATTCACTCCCCCCACCTACAATCCCTGCCGGTACAAGACACGAAAACCCGCAACCTTTGGGTTACGAGTCCGACTCTCTAACCATTAGGCCATGACTTCCCGACGAAATTCTGCAGGAAGTACAAAGATTTGACAGCAGTAGACTGGTGCAAAGTTATTTTGTCTGATGAAGCTCCCTTCCGACTGTTTGGGACATCTGGAAAATCGATTGTTCGAAGAAGAAAAGGTGAACACTACCATGAGTCCTGTGTTGTGCCAACAGTGAAGCATCCTGAGACCATCCATGTGTGGGGTTGCTTTTCAACCAAGGGAGTGGGCTCTCTCATAATTCTGCCCAAAAACACTGCCATGAATAAAGAATGGTATCAAAACGCCCAGCAAGAGCGACTTTTTCCAACGATCCATGAGCAATTTGGTGATGATCCGTGCATTTTCCAGCATGATGGAGCACCATGTCACAAAGCAAGAGTGATAAAGAAGTGGCTCGAAGATCATTACATTGAAATTTTGGATCCGTGGCCAGGCAACTCCCCGGATCTCAATCCCATAGAGAACCTGTGGTCAGTCCTCAAAAGGCGAGTGGACAAGCAGAAGCCCACAAATTGTGATCAACTCCGAGAACTAATAAGGCAAGAATGGATCGCCATCAGTCAGGATTTGGCCTAGAAGCTAATATCCAGCATGCCAGAGCGAATTGCAGAGGTTATGAAGAACAAGGGTCAGCACTGTAAATACTGACTTATATTTTTTTGCCAATAAAAGCCTTTACAACTTATGATACGCTTATCATTGATTTTCAGTATACCATAGAAACATGTGAAAAAATAATCTACAAATACTGAAGCAGCAAACTTTGCAAAACACAAAATGTATGTCACTGCCAAAACTTTTGGCCATGATTGTACAGGTATATTATGTGCAAATTTGAAATGTAAACTAAGTATGTGTTAGATAAATAAGAATATAAGTGTATAA